CCTGCATGTGTATCTTCATGCCGAATGTTGGGTGCACGGGTGTTTTCAAGTGGGCGGGGATGTAGGCTCGCGTGCAGGCGGTCACAATAGGGCCCTGCTGGCGAGGGTCCAGTTGCCCATCCAGGCAGTGAGAGGTATCGTCTTCGGGGCCGTCGGCCCCGGCAGAGCCCATCGGTGGCTGATTTTCGGATGAGTGAGACAGCGATGACATTGACCCAATGCACGAGGGGGGGGGTGGGGGGGAGGGGAGGTTTAGAAGCCCAACAAAAAACACGCATGTATGGTTGCCGCAATCCAGTAAAGCGATCCAATATGTAGTCCGTAGGATCTTCAGGATTGAAATGCAGTAGTGCATTTTGTGGAAGCGGTTGATTGGTCGATGAACTCTGTTACAGTGAATGCAACTAAGCAATGTTGATTCTACAAGGGAATGCGAAGTGTTACATGATGGAATGAGGTTTGCTCAATGTTGCACTATCCATGACTACAAGGTGCTTTTATACTTCCATAGTACATCAGGTAACCAGGTTTATCATATTTAAAAAGAATAGACCCTTCTAGAAATAGAATCACCCTACGTATAGCCACGCAATGCTATTGGCTTTAAGGGATTATGCTAGATATAGCGCGCTAGTACATCTCGAGCTTGGTTGGTGATATAATTATAATAACGGGATAAACCAAAGGATAATGGAAAATGAGATGAGACCAAATGAGATGAGATAACGACCAAATGAATCAGGATAAAAAGAGGAATAAAATAGAATGGAAATATGGAAAGGGGAAATTGGTGTTGCAGGGTCGTACTCTCACACTTCCCCCCCTCAAAGCTGGGTGGTAGAAGTAACACCCTTTTTGACAAGGTAGTTGCAGAAAGGACGACGGGCGTTACCCATGTCGAATTCGGAGATGCAGCCTCAGAAGGATCATAACCCTTCTAGCAAAGAAGAAGCTCCATGGTGTCATGCGGACGATGACGGTGAGCAAGCACGTAGTTGACATTCGGTGGTTGGCATTTGGTGTAGAGTGTTTGTGGTCCCGATAGGGTTTAAGAAGCTGGTCTGGAAGGCGTTATGGATCTTCCAAGTGGCTGGTAGGCAGAAGCGGAAGGTGAATGAAGTGACCTTTGCTTCAACGAGAATACTGTAGGTCCGCAAAAGCAAGGTCGAAGCTTAAATGGAAGATGGCTGATGTCGAGATTACGGTGCGGATAAGTGTAGTGATGAGCGGCCAAGTGCTTCTGCTGTTGCTGGATGTCCAAGAGGCGTTTGTGTGTCTGATCTTCGAGCTGGTGGACAATGGTGATGGAATGGAATTGTCGGTTGCTATGGTATGAGCGGGTTGCGTCTGTAGCAAAGGAAGAATGGTAATCGTTATGTTGCATTGTTGATGTAGACGCACTCCCATATCAGTTGTGGAGAAGCTGTTCAACAATCCGATTGAGCCACGCTGTATGTCCGTCAGTCTATACAGTGACAGAAACAATTGTCCGGATGTTCAGTCTTATTTTGCATTTTGATAAGTGCAGCGGCGTAAACATTAAGCCTTAATTTATGGTGTGCATACACGTTGAGAAGATCAGTTAGGGCACTCTTTCAAGTCGCCAAACACCAGAGTAGTATAATACATGGTCCTTAAACACCTAAGCATATCATAAGAGCACATCCTGACAATTTGTACCGAGGACAGGCAGCAAACTAGAATCATAAAAAAATAGTACCTAGTCCAGCGTCCCTTTGCACGAATCACAGCCTTGATCCTCCTCGGTATACTGTCGATGAGGTTTGAGCACACTTCCGCCGGTATCTTGTCCCATTCCTCCTGCACCCTCTCCCACAGCTCCAGCATTCCACTAGGTGTTTTTTCGTACGTACCCAACTCCCTTTTCAAGTGTGCCCACAGGTGCTCTATTGGGATAAGGTCCGGAGAGGACGAGGGCCATTCCAGCACCGCGTACTCCTGCTCCCCAAGCCAGTCTTGCACCAGACGGGACTTGTGCTTGGGAACATTGTCGTGCTGGAAAATGGCCTCTTAGGGGGGGAGCTTGAAAAAGTCGATGGTGCTGCGATACAGCGGCCCATCCATCCTGCCATTTATCTTGCACATGAACCCCGCCCCCTCATACGTCATGCAACCCCACACCATCACAGAACCGCCCCCATGCTGAACTATCTGTTGGAGTTGATGGCTCTAGAGGCTGGTGCCCTCGCGAACCCAGGCGTACGCACGTTCGTTGGAGCAGAAACGGTATATCTTAGTCTCATCAGACCAAATCACCCGCTTCTAGTTCTCCACCGTCCAGTCGGCATGCGACATCGCGAAATCGAGCCGATCACGTATGGTTTTTGTAGAGAGCCTGGGTTTCTTGGGCTGCTGCACAGCAATCAAGCCCTCTGATCGAAACGAGTTCCTGACTGTCTTTGAGTCTACAGCCAGAGCGTGCTTCTCCTCTAACATCTTTGCAGCGTCTACACTGCTTTTCGCCTCCCCGCTTGTAATTGCTCAAACTATTCCACGCTGGAGTCGGGTTGTGATTAAGCGGGGGCGGCCGGCCGTGAGCATCGTGGGTCACACCTCATTGCGACTAGTCTTGGCAATCGCCTTCAGACCGTAATCGTGCACGGTGCTCTTGCCTATGCCCAGAGTTTTGGCAATTTTCCTAGTCGAATGCTGTGAGAGTACGACCCAGTTCCATTCCTTTCTCCTTTCCATCTTCCCTTTCCATTTCATTCCTCTTTTTATCCTGATTCATTTGGTCTTTACCCCATTCCCTTTGGATTCCTATTCCTCCTTTTCCATAAACCTTTGGTTTATCATGTTATTATCATTATATCACCGACCAGGCTCGGGATGTACTGGCACGCTATATCTTGCGTAATCCTGCTGTAATCCCTTAAAGCCAATAGCCTCGCGTGGCTATATGCAGGGTGATACTATTTTTTAGAAGGGTCTATTTCTTTGGGATAAGATAGACCTGGTTACCTGATATACTTTGGGAGTATAAAAGCGCCTTGTATCAATCGATAGTGCAACATTTCCTCGACACATTCGATCCTGTGACACCTGGCAATCAGAGCTTTTCTCACTCAGCCGTGCTCAGCTAAGCAGCAGCAGCGGGACTCCTGCCTCGAAAAACCGTCGCTGGCGACCAATTCGATGCCGATTCTGGTAAGCACCATCTCCGCGTTTTTTCGAATTACCCCCTCCGCGCGTGTTTTGAACAGGATGGCGAACTTCGACTACGCCGAAGTTACCCACTTCGCAAGCATCGCCGCCCTACAGGAGGAGATGCGAGCCGACAGCGAAGCTTGGCGACAAGAGTTCGAGCAAGTAACTCGACTTGCCGGCGCGCAACACGAAACGACAATGGTGACGACGCAGCAGACGCAGCAGTTTCCCGAGGCTCCAAAGCCGCGCCCACCTGATTCGTTCGATCCGAGCGATCGAAACTCCGACGTCCAGAGATGGATTGCCGGCATGGAGATCTACTTCGCAGCCGTCGGATGGAGCTCGCTAGTCTGGGACGGTCAGCGCTAACGATTTGCGGCAACACTGATGCGAGGAGCGGTGCTTGATTGGATCGGCGGTAACAGCACCTTCATCCACGGCGAAGCCATGTGGCAGCAGTTCCGCACCGACCTATTGAAACGTTTCGAGCCGATAAATTTGGGTTTCCTTGCCCGCGGAAAAATTCATCGCCATCGACAGATTGGGAGGGTAGCACAGTACACGCAGCAGATGGAAGAATTTTATAACCGCATTCCTGACCTGACCGAAGGGGAAAAAGTTCTGTCATATCTCGCCGGGCTGAAGACCGAAGTCAAACGACAAGTAGCAGCGACAAACTACGTGAGCTACAGTGACGTGGTATCGGTAGCGGAGCGCTTCGACATGGTCAACGCTGGGACACGACGGGCGCACGTCGGCAGTAAAGCGACAGGGCGACTGCTTAGCTCACCCCACGTTCGCCGACCCGATGGAAGTCGACAAGTTCGAAGGACGGCCACGTCCGAAAAACACCAACTTCACGTGTGATTTTTGCAGGGTGCCGGGCCATCGAATCTTTGACTGCAACAAAATAAAGTCCGCACGCACTGAGTATCGGGCACGCAACAGTGGCGGAAATCCTTCGGCCAATCAGAAGCAAAAAAACGGGACTCACCAGTAATTGCGGATCTAGCTGGCGAAAAAGAAAAGATCCGAAAGCAGCCGCGGACTTCCGGAAAAATCAACGTCGACGCAGCTGATTCGACGTGAACAGGAGAAAATGATGGGGAAAAATCTCCACCCCACGACCAGTCTTTGCCAGAGGAAATCGCCGAGGAAAAATCCAACTCCGCGAAAAAAGACTCTGCCAAGACAGGGAAACTCTTTGAAGACCCAAGAAATGATAAGGATTGATTAAAGTTCTCTTATAAAGATGCTTTAATGAAAACTTGTAATTCTCAAGGGGCTAGAGCCTTGGAGAAATTTCGGGAGGGACTCCAGAAGAAGCAGAAAACTGTGGAGATCATACCGGTACCGGAGAACTTGGGGACCAAATTAAGGAGTGTGGAAAGAAGCCGACCTTTCTGCGGAGTCAACGTCCTCTCCCGACACCAGCCCACAGCTACTACCCGTTCCCTAGGGAAGACGTCGGTGGAGCTGAAGCAGCTTAAGAGGAAGCTGGGGGTCTACAAAAAGCTGCGAAAACCCCGAAATCCTGCTTCGGATGCATCTGTTAGGATTAAGGACGGAGTCTAGGTGAACTTAGGAGCTAGAATTACTCAAAATATAAATCCGAAATTCTGGACAGAAAAGTCGTCTTCACAAGAAACGACGTCGACAAACAACTAGCCGTTGGAATGTCGCGAAACTTGGATATGTTGTAGCTCTTAATCTCAGCTACCGTTCCCAATTTGAATCATGTTGATTGATAAAGTATTCGCGACGCTATGGCTTTCGACGCACTAGGGGGTAAGCTGTAGGAGGAGAACTTAACTCAATCTCAAAGGTTCAATCAAAGTTCAAGAATCTCACAAGGAATTAGAGGAGCAAGAGAAAGGTTGGGATAGGAAGAGAGGGATGAGAGGGAAGGTCCCAAGAGAGTCCCCAACCAAGGAAACCCCATAAGCACAAAGATTCCCTCCCTATAGGAACCCCAACTTTGACATTTGTCCCTTCCCAACCAATCCATCCAAGTTGGCCACCCTTGCCAACCTAGCTTGGTTGTTCCCAACCAATTTGCAGCTGTTACAGTAGAGTGACAAATTTCCCAAACCCCAAAGGTCCCAACTCCATATAGAGTCACCCCACAACTTCACTTTGTAACCGCCGCAATTGTAACGCAAGCTCATGAACTTTGAATCTTCATAGCTTTCGCGTTGTTGCTCCAATTGAAGAGATTCTTGTTGCGTCGGAAAGATCTTCTCAAGATCTATCATCACAAATACCTGCTCAAACAAAATAACACATAACACATTCCCAAACTCCAGAACACACACCACACAAATGCTTGCACATTCAAACCACACATGCAAGTTGAAAACATGGGATGGGAGGCAGACAGAATGTGATAGCATATGATGACATCACACAACAATCTCCCCCTCTGGCTGCCAACCATCATCCACCATACCACATCTCAAGCATGCATACTCAATGCACACTCATCCCAGCAAGCTTCATGCCCTTCCAATGATCCGCCTCCGCCAGACGCTTGGTGAAAATATCTGCTGCCTGCTGATGGGTCTTCACTATCTCCAGCCGCACCTCCTTATCAAGGAGTCTCCTCACCCAATGCCACTTAGGCCTTATGTGTTTTGTCAGCCCATGCAGACAAGCATTCTTGGCGAGCTTCACAGCGGACTCATTGTCACAAAACACAACTGTCGGCTTCTCCTGACCAACTCCCAACTCCTCCAACAAACGCCTTAGCCACACTACTTCCTTGGCCCCATGGTGTAAGGCCATGTACTCAGTCTCACATGAGGACAATCCCACCTCATTCTGCTTCTTGCTGCGCCAGCTCACAGCACCACCTCCTAGCAAGCACACATAACCCCCAATGCTGGTGCCATCCGCTTTCACTGAGTTGAAGCTAGCGTCAGTATAGCAACTCAAGAGCATCTCTCCACTCTTCACATCTGCAGCACCTCTCTGCAACCGCTGCCTCACTCCACTGTACTCCAATCCCACTGATGCCGTAGCGCTCACATAGCGGACCAACCTCTTGGCCGCTTCCAGCTGCTCATGACTAGGGCGTGAGACCACACTAGCCAATCGTGATGTAGCAAATGCAATGTCAGGCCGTGTATGATTTGCAGCATAATTCAGCGACCCAACCATCGAATGAAACAGCTTCCTGTCACTATCACCCACTACCTCCTCATCAGCACATGGCTCCACAGTAAACCCTGAAGGTAGTGGTGTTGCTGGCTTTCCCCCATCTTGCAGCCCATACTTCTCAGCCAGCCCCTCACAGTACTTCCTCTGGTGCAACCTCAGCACACCCTTTTCCACATCTCTCTCCACGTGCATCCCCAAGTAGTACTTCACCTCACCCATCTTGGAGCACTTGAACTGCATCTCCAGCATCTGCTCTGCGCTGTCCAGCAAAGCAGTTGATGCAGAAAAGAGAAGGATATCATCCACATACACCAAGAGCATGAGGATTTCATCCTTCTCCTGCAGCAGGAACAGGCTGGGGTCACACTCACTCTTCTTGAAACCCCCAGCCAACAGCGCCTCCTCCAACTTGTGATACCATGCACGAGGCGCCTGCTTAAGGCCATAGATGGCCTTCTTCAGCCTGCAGACCCTGCCGCTCCCGTCATCCAGCCCCTCTGGCTGCTTCATGTACACCTCCTCCATAATGATCCCATTCAGAAAAGCAGTCACAATGTCCATCTGCCGTATCTTCCATCCCAGGAGTGCAGCTATCGCTAACAGCACCCTCCGTGTTGTTCCTTTCCCCACAGGAGCAAACACCTCATCATAGTCCTTCCCTTTTGTCTGCTGAAACCCCCTTGCCACAAGCCTGGACTTGTAGCGGGTCAGCTCCCCTTCAGGTCCATACTTGTGCCTGTAGATCATCTTGGAAGTGATTGCCTTCTTTCCAGGAGGCAAGTCACACAGGTCCCATGTCTCGTTCTCAATTAGGGACCCGAACTCCTCATCCTCACTCGCCTTCCACTTCTCCCCATTTGGTCCATTCAAGGCCTCCTCTCGAGTCTTGGGCTCAGGGATTGGTGCCCAGTAGCAGTGAGCGATCTCATCTTCCTCAATCTGCTCAACCACACTCCCAGCCTGCACCACATTCGGCCTGCCTCTTCCCCCATAGGTCAGCCTCACTGGAGGGCGCACATCCCTCCTAGGACGCTCAGGCGGGTGTGGAACTCGAGATGGAGACTCATGCTGCTGCTGCTGCTGCTGCTCTACTGCTGTTGGAGTCTTCCCATTCCAAGGGATGATGGGCAGCTGCCACAGGTCCTTGATGCAGCTGGTCTCCTCTTCCAGACTCCACAGCACCTTCTTCCCAAGCTTAGCACGGCAGCTGGTTGGTCCAAAGGTCACTTCGGCCTTACTCTTCTGCAGTCGCCGCACAGAGAGAAGGTTAGCAGACAAGCCTTTAACCAGCAGAACATTCCCAAGCCCCACAAGCTCCCCATTAGCTCCCTTAACCTTGGCATTCCCAACACCAATGACAGGGAGCAAAGCACCTGATGCTGCTGCCACATACTTGATCTTCCCAGGGGGTTTTACCTCATCAAGCAAATCTGCCCGTGGAGTCATGTGACTGGTGCAACCCGAATCAATCACCCAGTGCGTGAGAGGGTGCATCACAACCTTTCCCACAGATCCCACATCACCCTCATGCCCATGCACATCCTCAACCATAAGATACATCCCAGGATAGGCGTTACCTTGTGCACCTTCACCTTGTGCACCTGAGCCTTGCACAGCGCCACCTTGTGCGCGTTCACCACTTGGCGGCTTCATGCCTGGAGGTGACCATCCCTCCGGCCTGCTGAAGCACTTGAACCAAGGATGCCCGATCTTCTTGCAGTACCAGCAGGTGCCCTCCATTCTGGTGCTCCCCCTGCCACTGGAGCTTCCATGCCCCTCATTATAGTCACCTCGGCCTCTACCTCTGCCAAAGCTCCTCCCACGGCCTCGGCCTTTCCAACCCCCTCTTCCTCTGCCGCGCCCTGCAGCTCCATACCCCTCAGCAGTCTTAGTGGCAGCACCGCCTCCCACATGGCGTCTGCGGAAGTCCTCCTGCAGAATCTGCTGCCTTAGCCACTCAGGTGTCCATTGATCTTGCTGAGAGTTGAGGGTGGGGATGAGGTTATCCCACGAGTTGTCCAACACCGAGATGATCTTGGTGCACTGCTGCAGCTGAGATACACTGCTGCCCGCTGCTGCCATCCTTGCATAGGTGTCCTTGATCTTGTCAAGGACCGGCTTCACATCGTCCCCTGGTCGCATGGAGATGGCAGCAAGTTCCTTCTCGAGCACGATCACCATCGGGAGAGTGTTGGGCTGAATCACATCGCGTAGTAGTTTCCACGCCCTTGGACCCGAATCATCCGCTTCCACAAGATCCTTGATGTGCTCGAACATCTCCTTGTTGACCGATTGAAGGATGAGGTCGAAAAGCACCGCGCTTTTCTCAATCCACCGTTCGCGTGCTTCGCCTTCTTCCGGCATCTTCTCTTCCCCAACAGCAATCTTCAGTAGCTTGTAGCGTTTGAAGGCACTCCTCATCCGTCCGCTCCATTCCTCATAGTTGGAGCCATCCAAAGCTTCAACTTTTGATGGCGGCGGCTCACTTGTCTTCTCAGCTACAGCTCCTCTTCCATTAGCATCTCCTCCTCTCTCATTCATCTTCTCCTTGAGAAATGACGAATTTCAGCCCCCTTTGCTGTCCACACTCAGCTCCCTCGATATTTTCACAAGTGTCGGCGTCCACGAAATTTCGGCAGAGTTTCCCTTAGCGGAAGACACATCCAACCTTTAGAACACCACTTAGGCACACCCACAGGCCATGGTGGGTCTAGAAGGGTCTTCACACTTCTGTAGACTCCTCTCAACGTCCTTAATACAGCTCTGATACCACTTGTTAGGATTAAGGACGGAGTCTAGGTGAACTTAGGAGCTAGAATTACTCAAAATATAAATCCGAAATTCTGGACAGAAAAGTCGTCTTCACAAGAAACGACGTCGACAAACAACTAGCCGTTGGAATGTCGCGAAACTTGGATATGTTGTAGCTCTTAATCTCAGCTACCGTTCCCAATTTGAATCATGTTGATTGATAAAGTATTCGCGACGCTATGGCTTTCGACGCACTAGGGGGTAAGCTGTAGGAGGAGAACTTAACTCAATCTCAAAGGTTCAATCAAAGTTCAAGAATCTCACAAGGAATTAGAGGAGCAAGAGAAAGGTTGGGATAGGAAGAGAGGGATGAGAGGGAAGGTCCCAAGAGAGTCCCCAACCAAGGAAACCCCATAAGCACAAAGATTCCCTCCCTATAGGAACCCCAACTTTGACATTTGTCCCTTCCCAACCAATCCATCCAAGTTGGCCACCCTTGCCAACCTAGCTTGGTTGTTCCCAACCAATTTGCAGCTGTTACAGTAGAGTGACAAATTTCCCAACCCCCCAAAGGTCCCAACTCCATATAGAGTCACCCCACAACTTCACTTTGTAACCGCCGCAATTGTAACGCAAGCTCATGAACTTTGAATCTTCATAGCTTTCGCGTTGTTGCTCCAATTGAAGAGATTCTTGTTGCGTCGGAAAGATCTTCTCAAGATCTATCATCACAAATACCTGCTCAAACAAAATAACACATAACACATTCCCAAACTCCAGAACACACACCACACAAATGCTTGCACATTCAAACCACACATGCAAGTTGAAAACATGGGATGGGAGGCAGACAGAATGTGATAGCATATGATGACATCACACAACAGCATCCAACTTTGCCACTTCGTCACGACACGAACAGTCGTCACGGAAACTCCGGCCCAGGAGAAGAGCCTTTCTCCAAGCAGCTCGGCTAGCTGCCAGCTCAGGAGTAGGAAGCAACAAATATTGGATATACCTATGACCCAATCAATGAAACTATTTTTGGGTACTCCGAGCAATGCCTGCCCTTGTGCTCGAGGTCATCTGCAAGGACGACGCCTCCAAGTGTTTTGTGATGTCATCATATGCTATCACATTCTGTCTGCCTCCCATCCCATATTTTTTCAACTTGCATGTGTGGTTTGAACGTGTGCAAGAATTTGTGTGTGATGTGTTCTGGAGTTTGGGAATGTGTTTTGTGTTATTTTGTTTGAGCAGGTTTTTGTGATGATAGATCTTGAGAAGATCTTTCCGACGCAACGAGAATCCCTTCAATCGGAGCAAGAACGCGAAAGCTATGAAGATTCAAAGTTCATGAGCTTGCGTTACAATTGCGGCGGTTACAAAGTGAAGTTGTGGGGTGACTCTATATGGAGTTGGGACCTTTGGGGTTGGGGAAATTTGTCACTCACTGTAACAGCTGCAAATTGGTTGGGAACAACCAAGCTAGGTTGGCAAGGGTGGCCAACTTGGATGGATTGGTTGGGAAGGGACAAATGTCAAAGTTGGGGTTCCTATAGGGAGGGAATCTTTGTGCTTATGGGGTTTCCTTGGTTGGGGACTCTCTTGGGACCTTCCCTCTCATCCCTCTCTTCTATCCCAACCTTTCTCTTGCTCCTCTAATTCCTTGTGAGATTCTTGAACTTTGATTGAACCTTTGAGATTGAGTTAAGTTCTCCTCCTACAGCTTACCCCCTAATGCGTCCAAAGCCATAGCGTCGCGAATACTTCATCAATCAACGTGATTCAAATTGGGAACGGTAGCTGAGATTAAGAGCTACAAATATCCAAGTTTCGCGACATTCCAACGGCTAGTTTTTCGTCGACGATGTTTCTTGTGAAGACGACTTTTCTGTCCAGAATTTCGGATTTATATTTTGAGTAATTCTAGTTCCTAAGTTCACCTAGACTCCGTCCTTAATCCTAACAAGTGGTATCAGAGCAATATTAAGGACATTGAGAGGAGTCTACAGAAGTGTGAAGACCCTTCTAGACCCACCATGGCCTGTGGGTGTGCCTAAGTGGTGTTCTAAAGGTTGGATGTGTCTTCCGCTAAGGGAAACTCTGCCGAAATTTCGTGGACGCCGATACTTGTGAAAATATCGAGGGAGCTGAGTGTGGACAGCAAAGGGGGGCTGAAATTCGTCATTTCTCAAGGAGAAGATGAATGAGAGAGGAGGAGATGCGAATGGAAGAGGAGCTGTAGCTGAGAAGGCAAGTGAGCCGCCGCCATCAAAAGTTGAAGCTTTGGATGGCTCCAACTATGAGGAATGGAGCGGACGGATGAGGAGTGCCTTCAAACGCTACAAGCTACTGAAGATTGCTGTTGGGGAAGAGAAGATGCCGGAAGAAGGCGAAGCACGTGAACGGTGGATTGAGAAAAGCGCGGTGCTTTTCGACCTCATCCTTCAATCGGTCAACAAGGAGATGTTCGAGCACATCAAGGATCTTGTGGAAGCGGATGATTCGGGTCCAAGGGCATGGAAACTACTACGCGATGTGTTTCAGCCCAGCACTCTCCTGATGGTGATCGTGCTCAAGAAGGAACTTGCTGCCATCTCCATGCGACCAGGGGACGATGTGAAGCCGGTCCTTGACAAGATCAAGGACACCTATGCAAGGATGGCAGCAGCGGGCAGCAGTGTATCTCAGCTGCAGCAGTGCACCAAGATCATCTCGGTGTTGGACAACTCTTGGGACAACCTCATCCCCACCCTCAACTCTCAGCAAGGTCAATGGACACCTGAGTGGCTAAGGCAGCAGATTCTGCAGGAGGACTTCCGCAGACGCCATGTGGGAGGCGGTGCTGCCACTAAGACTGCTGAGGGGTATGGAGCTGCAGGGCGCGGCAGAGGAAGAGGGGGTTGGAGAGGCCGAGGCCGTGGGAGAAGCTTTGGCAGAGGTAGAGGCCGAGGTGACTATAATGAGGGGCATGGGAGCTCCAGTGGCAGGGGGAGTACCAGAATGGAGGGCACCTGCTGGTACTGCAAGAGGTTGGGCATCCTTGGTTCAAGTGCTTCAGCAGGCCGGAGGGATGGGCACCTCCAGGCATGAAGCCGCCCAGTGGTGAACGCGCACAAGGTGGCGCTGTGCAAGGCTCAGGTGCACAAGGTGAAGGTGCACAAGGTAACGCCTATCCTGGGATGTATCTTATGGTTGAGGATGTGCATGGGCATGAGGGTGATGTGGGATCTGTGGGAAAGGTTGTGATGCATCCTCTCACGCACTGGGTGATTGATTCGGGTTGCACCAGTCACATGACTCCACGGGCAGATTTGCTTGATGAGGTAAAACCCCCTGGGAAGATTAAGTATGTGGCAGCAGCATCAGGTGCTTTGCTCCCCGTGATTGGTGTTGGGAATGCCAAGGTTAAGGGAGCTAATGGGGAGCTTGTGGGGCTTGGGAATGTTCTGCTGGTTAAAGGCTTGTCTGCTAACCTTCTCTCTGTGCGGCGACTGCAGAAGAGTAAGGCCGAAGTGACCTTTGGACCAACCAGCTGCCGTGCTAAGCTTGGGAAGAAGGTGCTGTGGAGTCTGGAAGAGGAGACCAGCTGCATCAAGGACCTGTGGCAGCTGCCCATCATCCCTTGGAATGGGAAGACTCCAACAGCAGCAACGGCAGCAGCGGCAAAGGCAACAGCAGGAGGAGATGCAACTGCACCAATGATGGGGTCCTGGAAGCAGTCAAGAAAGTGCAGCAGCAGCAGACACATGGTGAGGTGCTTGCTGGTGTGGATGCGAGTGCGGCATGGGCTAAGGCTTCATCAAGGAGTGGAGAGGCCGATTGGGAGACATGGCATGAGAGGTTGTGTCATGTGAACTTCCCTATGCTGCAGAAGTTGGTGAAGAATGGGAGCCTGAAGGGCTTGGAGGTGAAAGGGGAAGTGAAGGAGATTGGGAGCTGCCCTACATGCTTGGAGACCAAGTTCTCCAAGTTCCCCTTCAACAGTGCAACAGGACCAGCCAAGACCCCACTTGCACTTGTGCACATGGATGTGGTGGGGCCCACAAGAGCCCCTTCCCTCTCAGGCAGCCGCTATTTCTTGACAATTGTGGATGACCACACTCGGGCAGTGTGGGTTTACCCTTTGAACAGCAAGGGGGAGGTGGCAGCGGCTGTCCTTAAGGAGTGGATGCCTAGAGCTCAGAGGGAATGCGGACACAAGGTGAAGGTGATCCGCAGTGACAATGGTGGGGAGTTCATTGGAGCTGATTTTGAGGGGGAGTTGAAGAGGAAGGGGATCCAGCATCAACTGACAGTGCCATACAATCCGCAGCAGAATGGCGTGGCTGAGAGGTTCAACAGGACCCTGCAGGAGGGGGCACGCACTCTCCTTGGGCGTGCAGGGCTGCCTGATCCGTTTTGGGTGTCTGCACTGAGGCAGGTCGCCCTTGTGAAGAATACAGCCTTAGGGTGCTGGCTACAGTTGGGGATAAGGAGTGGATCCCATATACCAAGTGGTATGGGAGTGCTCCAGCTGTGAATATGCTGAGGGCATTTGGGTGCATGGTAGTGTTTCATGTGCCTAAGAAGAAAAGAGGGAAGTTGGAGGCTTCTGGAAGATGGGGTGTGCACTTGGGGATTGCAAAGGATCACAAGGGATGGCTGCTATGGGACTTGACCACCCAGAAGCTGACAGTGTCAAGGGATGTGAAGTTTCTTGAGTCCCTGTACTACAAGCAATGGAAGCAGCAGCAACAGAAGCTTCCATCTACACCACTCATTGTGGAGGCAGATGAGTTGCAGCAGCCTTCAAGGCAGGTGGAGGTTGCAGTGTCTGAGGAGGAGATGTCTGGGGTGACTGAGAAGGGGGAGCAGCTGAAGTGGAGCAGCAGCAGCAGCAACATGAGTCTCCACCTCGAGTTCCACACCCGCCTGAGCGACCTAGGAGGGATGTGCGCCCTCCTGTGAGGCTGACCTATGGGGGAAGAGGCAAGCCAAATGTGGTGCAGGCTGGGAGTGTGGTTGAGCAGATTGAGGAAGATGAGATCGCTCACTGCTACTGGGCACCAATCCCTGAGCCCAAGACTCGAGAGGAGGCCTTGAATGGACCAAATGGGGAGAAGTGGAAGGCGAGTGAGGATGAGGAGTTCGGGTCCCTGATTGAAAACGAGACATGGGACCTGTGTGACTTGCCTCCTGGGAAGAAGGCAATCACTTCCAAGATGATCTACATGCACAAGTATGGACCTGAAGGGGAGCTGACCCGCTACAAGTCTAGGCTTGTGGCACGGGGGTTTCAGCAGACAAAGGGGAAGGACTATGATGAGGTGTTTGCTCCTGTGGGGAAAGGAACAACACTGAGGGTGCTGTTGGCCATAGCTGCACTCCTGGGATGGAAGATACGGCAGATGGACATTGTGACTGCCTTTCTGAATGAGATCATTCTGGAGGAGGTGTACATGAAGCAGCCAGAGGGGCTGGATGATGGGAGCGGCAGGGTCTGCAGGCTGAAGAAGGCCATCTATGGCCTTAAGCAGGCGCCTCGTGCATGGTATCACAAGTTGGAGGAGGCGCTGTTGGCTGGGGGTTTCAAGAAGACTGAGTGTGACCCTAGCCTGTTCCTGCTGCAGGAGAAGGATGAAATCCTCATGCTCTTGGTGTACGCGGATGATATCCTTCTGTTTTCTGCATCAACTACTTTGCTGGACAGCGCAGAGCAGATGCTGGAGATGCAGTTCAAGTGTTCCAAGATGGGTGAGGTGAAGTACTACTTGGGGATGCATGTGGAGAGAGATGTGGAGAAGGGTGTGCTGAGGTTGCACCAGAGGAAGTACTGTGAGGGGCTGGCTGAGAAGTATGGGCTGCAAGATGGGGGAAAGCGCAACACCACTACCTTCGGGGTTCACTGTGGAGCCATGTGCTTATGAGGAGGTAGTGGGTGATAGTGACAGGAAGCTGTTTCATTCGATGGTTGGGTCGCTGAATTATGCTGCAAATCATACACGGCCTGACATTGCATTTGCTACATCACGATTGGCTAGTGTGGTCTCACGCCCTAGTCATGAGCAGCTGGAAGCGGCCAACAGGTTGGTCCGCTATGTGAGCGCTACGGCATCAGTGGGATTGGAGTACAGTGGAGTGAGGCAGCGGTTGCAGAGAGGTGCTGCAGATGTGAAGAGTGGAGAGATGCTCTTGAGTTGCTATACTGACGCTAGCTTCAACTCAGTGAAAGCGGATGGCACCAGCATTGGGGGTTATGTGTGCTTGCTAGGAGGTGGTGCTGTGAGCTGGCGGAGCAAGAAGCAGAATGAGGTGGGATTGTCCTCATGTGAGACTGAGTACATGGCCTTACACCATGGGGCCAAGGAAGTGGTGTGGCTGAGGCGCTTGTTGGAGGAGTTGGGAGTTGGTCAGGAGGAGCCGACAGTTGTGTTCTGTGACAATGAGTCTGCTGTGAAGCTCGCCAAGAATGCTTGTCTGCATGGGCTGACAAAACACATAAGGCCTAAGTGGCACTGGGTGAGGAGACTCCTTGATAAGGAGGTGCGGCTGGAGATAGTGAAGACCCATCAGCAGGCAGCAGATATTTTCACCAAGCGTCTGGCGGAGGCGGATCATTGGAAGGGCATGAAGCTTGCTGGGATGAGTGTGCATTGAGTATGCATGCTTGAGATGTTGGTATGATAGATGATGGTTGGCAGCCAGAGGGGGAGATTGTTTTGTGATGTCATCATATGCTATCACATTCTGTCTGCCTCCCATCCCATATTTTTTCAACTTGCATGTGTGGTTTGAACGTGTGCAAGAATTTGTGTGTGATGTGTTCTGGAGTTTGGGAATGTGTTTTGTGTTATTTTGTTTGAGCAGGTATTTGTGATGATAGATCTTGAGAAGATCTTTCTGACGCAACGAGAATCCCTTCAATCGGAGCAAGAACGCGAAAGCTATGAAGATTCAAAGTTCATGAGCTTGCGTTACAATTGCGGCGGTTACAAAGTGAAGTTGTGGGGTGACTGTATATGGAGTTGGGACCTTTGGGGGTTGGGGAAATTTGTCACTCACTGTAACAGCTGCAAATTGGTTGGGAACAACCAAGCTAGGTTGGCAAGGGTGGCCAACTTGGATGGATTGGTTGGGAAGGGACAAATGTCAAAGTTGGGGTTCCTATAGGGAGGGAATCTTTGTGCTTATGGGGTTTCCTTGGTTGGGGACTCTCTTGGGACCTTCCCTCTCATCCTTCTCTTCTATCCCAACCTTTCTCTTGCTCCTCTAATTCCTTGTGAGATTCTTGAACTTTGATTGAACCTTTGAGATTGAGTTAAGTTCTCCTCCTATAGCTTACCCCCTAATGCGTCCAAAGCTATAGCGTCGCGAATACTTCATCAATCAACGTGATTCAAATTGGGAACGGTAGCTGAGATTAAGAGCTACAACATATCCAAGTTTCGCGACATTCCAACGGCTAGTTTTTCGTCGACATTGTTTCTTGTGAAGACGACTTTTCTGTCCAGAATTTCGGATTTATATTTTGAGTAATTCTAGTTCCTAAGTTCACCTAGACTCCGTCCTTAATTCTAACACAAAGCACTTGTGGACAGCGGAGCATCGCACACCGTATGGGACAAAGCAACCATTGACCGACTTCGAGAAGAGTACAAGCCATCCGCGTTTTCTGCAACGATGGTGGACGGCTGCAAGTTACCAGTGTATCGCGAAGTAGTGCTACACCTACAAATCGGGCCACTACGCTGGAAACCTGCTCTCCCCATCACCAACATAAAAGGGCTTGACCTGATCTTCGGGCGAGACTTCCTCAAGAAATTCAACCCCGAGATCAACTGGGTAAATCGTACCGCAAACATCTGCAACAAAGGAATGAGAGTCCAGCTACCCAACTGGGACGATACATGAGACATCCCAGTGGAGACACTCGCCAGGTTCGAGAAGGACGTGAAAAGAACCAACCGCGGGTTCCTGGCATTAGCAAGAGATGTAGAAAGGGACGAAGAGAATACCTCGGAACCTCCAAGAGAAATCAAGAAAATACTGAAGGAGTTCCAAGACATTCTTCCCGACGACCTCCCGGACGAGTTACCGCCATACCAAACGCACCAACACGAGATCGTGGAGGAACCAGGGTCGAAACCGACCTTCCGAGCACCATATCGGCTAAGCCCCACAGAACTAGTGGACATGAAGAAACAGATCGAGTATCTCCTCCCCAAAGGACTCATCCGACCATCCACTTCACCGTACGGTGCCCCAGTACTCTTCACACCGAAACCGGACGGAAGCCTGCGCATGTGCATCGAGTACCGGGCTCTCCAAAAGCAGGCCATAAAGAAGAAGTAACCAATTCCATGAATCGATGATCTGCTCGACCAGCTTCGGGGAGCCACGGTATTTTCAGAATTAGATCTGCGGTCCGGATACTGGCAAATAAGAATGGCAGACGATTCCGTTCACAAAATTGCCTTCCGAACTCGGTACGGATCGTACGATTATCTGGTAATGCCGTTCGGACTCACCAAGGCACCTGCAACGTTCCAAGCAGAGATGAATCACATCCTGTGCCCACTCTTGCACGAATGCGTGGTGGTGTACTTGGACGACATCCTCATCTACTCACGTGACATGCGACAACATGTTGAACACCTGCGACGTGTCTTCGAAATTCTTCGGCGAGAACGCTTCTACGTCAAACTATCCAAGAGCGACTTCGCCCTCGAGAAAGTCCAATTCCTCGGACATATCGTAAGCGCTCAAGGATTTCATGTCGACCCCAAGAAATTAAAGCCGTGCGTACGTGGAAAACACCAAAGAACGTGAAGGAGTTAGAGCAGTTCCTTGGCTTCAGTAACTACTACAAGCCGTGCGTACGTGGAAAACACCCAAGAACGTGAAGGAGTTATAGCACTTCCTTGGTTCGTGCCGCAATACGCGAAAATCGCCATGCCACTCACGAATCTGCTAAAGAAGAACACGCCCTATAACTGGGAACCACAACACCAGGAAGCCGTGGAGCAGCTGAAACAAGCACTCACGTCCGCACCCGTACTCATCTTGCCAGACCCTGAACGCGACTACGTCATCGAAGCTGACGCCAGTGACCAGGCAGTAGGAGCAGTCTTGATGCAAGACCAGGGGAATGGACTGCCCCCAATTGCCTACCTCAGCAAAAAATTACACAAAGCAGAACTCAACTACCCGATACACGACAAGGAGGCCCTTGCTATCATCATCGCCTTCAAAACGTGGAGATGTTATCTCGAAGGAGGCAAAACAATAGTCTACACCGACCATTGCAGCCTGAAATATTTGAAGACACAACCAAGCCTCTCCAGGCGACAGGTTCGGTGGATCGACTTCCTCGAGACACACTTCCACTACGACATCGTGTACAAGCCTGGCCACAAAAACAATGCAGACGCTCTCAGTCGGCCTGCACACGTTGCCGCAATCCAGGTTGAAGGGATGAATCCACTCCTCAAGGGACTCTTCACACACGGGTACACCATTGACCCCGAAATTCCCTTGGCATAAAAGCGACATCTGCTACAGTGGGACAACGACATCGCGCACCGGAAAGGATCAACAAAGATCTGGGCAGGGTGATTCTATTTTCTAGAAAGGTCTATTCCCTTGGGATAAGATAGACCTGGTTACCTGATGTACTTTGGAAGTATAAAAGCGCCTTGTATCAATCGATCGTGCAACCTTTCCTCGACACATTCGATCCTGTAACACATGCCCTTTGCGCAACATGCTTATGATTCGCGCGCAGTTCTTGTCATCTACCGGCTTCATCGCGATGTGGTCGTAGGTTTGCTTCAAACTCCTAGACTAGCAGCTGTTGCGCGAGACGATGTGCACACTGAGTGACGGGTGAAAATAGATCTAGAACGTCGCTCGGTATGAACTGTCCAGATTGACAGCCGAGGAGTAAATCTCAACCCCGCTTTTCGGTTGTGTCACAATCGCGCCAAGCATGATACGGTTGAAGCAGAACTCGACAACCTTGTAACAGGATGGAAAAAAAATGGTGTTACTATTTTGGAAACAAGTGTGGCATAGCGCTAAGTTTCGAACATTAGGGCTATTCCCAAATAATCCTCTCCCATTTTCGAATAGTCATTGCCTACAGCCAATCCAGTATGACCTTATGCACTTCCAGTTTAGCACGGAGGCCATCGGTAGGCATCGGTGTCTAGGCGCACTTAGTGGGATAGGTTTTCTGGTGCCATCATGTGTTGTCTCATTCTGTCATTGTCCTTGAAGTAGCGTTGATGTCAAAGACGTCTCAGCTACTCAGCATCAGTGTTGAAGTCTGCTCCATTTTGACAAATAGGGGTGTTGTTGGAGATACGCTGAGTCCACTATTCAGAGTGGCGCCGGTGCTCCATTTCAGGCCTATCTGCTTCAGTGGAGGTGGTGCTGGTGATGGATTAGTTGCGACACAGGTTTTATAACTTTAAGGAAAGCCATAGGCCATGAGGAATTGGATGTCGGTAGATTGCCGTAGTCCTCCCATCCTCATAAGAGCAAATATCTCCTGCTCTTGAGGGTATATGGCATTGCCACAGCAATTCCATTGCATAGTGGTATCTCATTCTCACTAGCTGGAAATCAATGTTGTGCCTGGCCAAAACTTTACGATCATACGGGAATATGATCCAGCGTTATCTTCATTGAATGGAGAATCATCCATTAGGATTTGGTTGTGACCGTTGTGTCGAGTCTTCTGCTGCTGCGGCGCCGACGACGGCAGCTGCTGTAAAGAATTCTCTGAACTCGTAATGGTTGAAGGAGAATCCATCAACTCCCTCTTCCCAGTAGAGTGTACGTGATGGGTGTAACAGGCGTAACTACCAGGAATACGTGCATATTGGTACACATGTGTTGCTCCATTGCTGCCGGTGATGGTTTCATTTGAGGGTATGAAGAGAAATTTGCTTCTCCCTTCTGTGTATCCACGGGTAGCAATTCCTGGTATGCTCATCCGTGCCTCCGATGTATGGTCGTTAGAGCACGTGATTGTGTTGTAGTAGTTAGCATCTCTCTCGTTTGTTGACACCTCGTGTTAGCGTTCTCCTGTATTGTCGAAGTTACGTTGGTGCTTGTAACGCTTCGGCTTCTGGCAGAATCGCCTCCAATGCATGTGTCGTAGGGTCGCTAGTGAACGAATACTAGCCGGATTCGATGTTAATTACTCCTCAATCTATCAAGCATCGTGACATGTACGGAAATTTTTCCACGCGGGTCATTAACATTTGGAATTGTGACGCATGATTCGTGTGTCGCCTCGTAAGGTTGATGTTGAGATTGCTCCAATCAATCACTTCCGATGGCTGAGATTCTTGATGAAGACAAATTGACCAGCTCCTGTGACGAAGTAGTATCTTGCTGGTCTTGACGAAATGGGCCGTCATTGCGTGCGAAATCTGCTCCTTCACAACAACATGAATTTGGGAGCATTGCAAGAGAAAACGGCTACTTCTTTGCAATCTCATAGCTTGTCAATCAATTTATGTGAAGAAGTGTCTTGTGGATGGAGAACATATCTTCACGCAGCTTCATTGTTTTTCCTGGGTGAAGATCCGCTGTGTTGATGTCGATCAATTTTTAATGAAGATGACTTCGTCAAAATAAGTAGATCGTTGTCGAAACTAGTTAGAAGATGCGTCGATTCTGCACTCGTTGGTCATGAATGTTATCTCCATGATGTTGATTTTCCATTGTGTAGTTTCCGCTGCATTCCTGCCATTGATTCCGCAACATTTTGACGATCCACATTCTCCTGTCAGTTTTCTGCCTACAGTTATTACCAAGTAGGCAATCCTTTGGCAGATTTCCGACCTTGCCGATGATTTGCCCGCCAAATATGTCACCAAATGGAGGAATCCGAAACTGGTTGTCCAGATGATGCGAGCGGTGTCGAAGGCGGCTGAGTTTTTGTTCTGCGCGTCGTTCTCCTTTTTGCAGACATCGCGCTCCATCTCGTCCGTTGAAGCAGAAGTCGATCCGACGGTCCAAAATCCAAGCAATATGAAAATATTCCTGAGTCACGTTCAGCAGCTATTGGTATCCGGATCATCTCGTTTCCTGCAGCAATTCTCAATCGTCGATGTCGAATGTTGAACGATCGGATGCTCCAATGAATTTTGCGGTTAGGGAGGTCCCGCTTCCATTCACGTTGAAACTCGAACTCGCTCAGAAGGATTTCGTTTCACATCGGTCGAGCTGAAGCGTCGAATATCCATCGGACGGATGTGGTCGGTCGCGACTCCGCAC